CAGGATTCTAATGTGTGATCTCATAATCAAATAGTTTATCATAAAATTAAGGTTTCACATGCACATCTGTGCATTTTCTTACTGGAGTGACTAATTTAACAAATCTAATGCTTTCTTAATAGCTTTCAAAGAATGCTGATGATTCACAGGATTTTCTACCATCAACTGTATCCCAATCCTGCTAAGAGTTATGTATCTGCTTAACTTTAAGCACCTTAAGTAAATCTTTGCAGGACTGGGGCCTCAGATCTCTGCATGAAAATCCTAGTGACACTCATGGGGTTTTTGTGTTCGGAATGGCAGCACTAGCCATGGTCCATGACCATGATGTGCAACATCAGCCAACATTCTGAGATCCTTCTCCTTCTACCCATTCCATGATACAGGAATATATGCAGCAACTACAATGAGGCAGTATTTCAAACATCATTTCAAACTTCTCACAATTTACATGTTTTATTACTCAAAAGTATATTTTGTACTTCTATCTATACACAATAGTGAGAATTATTTAATCACTATGTTGTTATAAACCAGCAAATAGCCATTCTAAACCCATTATAAAGATTATACAGTACAATCTCAGGTTACGAACACCTCGGGAATGGAGGCTGTTCATAACTGTGTTGTAACTCTGAACAAAGCGTTATGGTCATTCTTTCAAAAGTTTACAACTGAACATTAATTTAATACAGCTTTGAAACTTTACTATGCAGAAGAAAAATGCTTTCCATTTTATTTGTAGTTTACATTTAACAGTACTGTATTTGTCTTTTTTTTTTTGGTTTCTACTGCTGCCTGATTGTGTACCTCTGGTTCCAAACAACATGTGTGGTTGACTGGTCAGTCCGTAACTCTGGTATTCATAACTCTGAAATTCTACTGTACTGGTTTATTCCTTAGTTTACCTGGTGTTTTCATTGTATTCATAAATTTGAACCTTAGCCAGTATATTTGGACTGTTGTCATCACTTCCTACAGCTATCATCGGAGAATGAGCTCGAGAGCTACAAGTGAAAAATAAGTGCCATTACATTTACAAATTGCTATCATGCATAATACAAGTTAAAATAGTTTAAGTATTACAGATTAAAAAAATTAAAAATGTTAATTAGATTGCAAAGTCAAGCACTCAAAAGTTAAGAAATGGCAGATTTTCAGCTGGCTGTGCAACCATAATTCTGCCCTCTAGAATGACCATCCTCCTCAGTGAATGAGACTAGGGCCCAGTGGAAAAAGCAGCATGTAACTGAAGACTATCATTTAATGTAGCAGTGGGCAAACTTTTTGGCCCAAGGACCACATCCCATCCCCTGACTGCCCCCCTCAGAACCACCCCCCACTCCTTGTCCCCTGACAGCCCCCTCCTGGGACCCCCCGACCCTAACTGCTCCCCTGGGACCCCACCCCACCCCATCCACCCCACCCCCCCGCTCCGTGTCCCCTGACTGCCCCATCCCCTATTCACACCCCCGCCCCGACACGCCCCCCCCGGGACTCCCACACTTATCCAACCCGCCCCTGTTCCCCATCCCCTGACCACCCGCCTCCTTCCCCCCAGAACCTCTG